TCATTTATGCAACTGATGTAAAGTTACTACATTCACTGTGCAATTGAACTGGAAAGTCCCTGAACTCAAGATTACATTGCCTAGCGTTTTCATTGGTGACCTGCAGAGAACAAGCTCATTAAGTTCCTAAATGGGAGGGAGGGCCAGAACATTAGAGCACAGGATTAGAAGTTCCCAGCCCTAGTCAAATTAACAAAATAGTCAGAGTCAAATATGTTCACTGGGGACAGGCAGATAAAAAATCAGCTCCCCAAATAAAAATGGAATTATAGCAAGTTATTTAGGAAGAAAACTAAAAAGAATATCAATGCAAAAATAGACTAGCTACAAGAAATGAAGCTACCCAGTGGAACCACTGGTGTTCGATGGGTCCTCGGCTCCCCATTAAGATGGAATCAGGTCCAAATTTATGGGTCCTGGAAGCATTAAGCCATTACCAAAATTTCTAAGAATTCCAAGGAATTTTTCATTCTCATGGGCTTTTCTAGTTTCAGATTCCTGGTTTCCATTTAATTAGCCTGGTTTATGGTTCATTAGCCTGGTTTATGGTTCACTTCGTTGTCCTGCTCTAGCTGCTCTGTAATAAACTATGTTGACCCAGACATAAAAACCATTTCACTTTCATGAGCAAATTACAGCCTCCTACAAAAAAGTCTGGCTATCTCCTTCAATGTCTTGGCTCTCGTTCCATCCTTCCGATTAAACTTCCCCCAAGTAGTTTAACAAGGTATTTTCCTAAATATACGAAGTTGTCTTCCTAAGAATTCCCAGACTAGCTGTTTAGATAATAACATTTACACCTGTATTACCTAACAAAGGGGTATGATGAAGTCATGAGTCTATACTGCTATAGCCAGGATCCAGCAAATGTTTGTTGTAAAGGGGCAGAGAGTTAATGTTTTGGGTCTCAATCACAACTACTTAACATTGTAGCATGAAAGCGATCACACACAACACGTAAACAAATGGGACTCCCTGGGTTTGGCTGCAATAAAGCATAAGTTTGCTGACTTTTGCTTAAATCAACTTCAAATTCTTTCATTTGAGGGGAGCTTTAACAATCACCTCATCCAACCTGCTCATTTTATGACTGAAGAAACCAGAACGCATAAAGTAGAGTGGAGTTAATACAAGTTCACAAGACAGTGGTTGTTGTTGTTAGCTATCCGTGAGTTGGCCCTTGACTCTTGGCAACTTGAATGTACTACAGAATAAACTGCTGCGGAGTCCTGTGCCAACCCCATGATAGGTTGTAGGTTAGACCACTGACTAATTTGGGGGAGTCAATTCTAATCTGTCTTAGTCTGGAAGCTCTACTGAAACCTGCTTGGCATCACAGAAACATGCAAGACTCCACTGAGAGATGGGTAGTGACTGACCATGAGTTGCTTTGGTCAGGAATGGTACCCACATCTCCTGAATGGACAGTGATAATTCTACCACTGAACCACCACTACCCTAGGGAAGTAAGCCCAGATTAAAATGCCAGACCGGAAACAGGGAGCCCAACTCGGAATTCAGTGCTCTCACAACTGCAACATTTCCAGCCTGTTTCCAAAAGGTCTGCGAATCCCTGCTTAATTCCCAGAGCCTCTGCTAGAGTTCTTTCTACTTTTTGGTGAAATATTTGAATCATATTATGTGTCATGCTCAGTGGCGCCATTTTGAAAAATCTCCAAGTGGATCTCAGGTGAATGTGTAACGAAAGACTTAGGCAAATCTCTCTACCAACAAGGGGCAGTCTTGGAGAAAACCAGAATAGAGCCCAGAATAGGTGAGAAAGAAAGCTATGCAAAAGTTTCAAGGGACACAGATTTATTTCATTCAAATTAAGGTACAAGTAACATAGCTATCTTCATACGCCAAGAGGAATTCTTTAAAGAAGGGCAGTTATTCCCTATCTTCTATTAAAATGGAAAGAGCAGGACTGGAGTATAGGTTATACAATAGAAAGAACTTGCTAGAAGTGACAAGAACCGTGCAGCAAAAATCATGAACCAAAATAAGTTATGGTGGTTGGTGGTCTTGTTTTGTGGAGTTGGTTCCAACTCATTGTGACCCTGTATAGGGTTTCTGAGGATGTAAATCTTTACAGGAACAAAAAGTTTTATCTTTCTCCCGTTGGAACCACTGGTAGTTTCAAACTGCTGATCATGAGATTAGGAGCCCAACTCACAACCACTATGCTACCACAGCTCCTTAAAATGAATCACGGAATCCTCTTAATAATCAGATCCAGGGATTGCATGTTGCTGGGAGGGCTAGGAGTGAGAAAACTAGACTGAACTGATAACTCTCAAAATCCTTTTTCCCTCTTTAAACCTCCTGAAAACTACAGGAAAGAATCCTTTTCAAAGCCAACAGGACACACTGAATCGTTGTACTTAATGAGAACAGCACGGTTTCTTTAAAAGGGTTGTGGAGGAGTTCAGAACACAAAGCAGATATTTGTGTTGGAAAAGATAATTGCCCAGATTTCAAACGATCCTTCCAAATTACACGCCCTCAGATTGGCATGTAATCTGACGGTAACTCGTGGAAAACCTATGATTGAGGGGCAGAAGCTTAACGCCCCTTCTGAATGCTTATGTGCAGACATATGTACTTAATGCCTCTACCTCAGGAGAAGCCAGAGCTTCTTAATGTGAACAGTTTGTTGATCTGCAATTCAAAGGCCCAATTGCTATTGTTGTTAAGTGCCCTTGAATCAGTTCCAACTTGTAGCAACCCTGTATAGGGTTTCCGAGGCTGTAAATCTTTGCGGGAGGAGAGAGCCTCATCTTTCTCTCGCATAAAGACCCAATAAGTTGGGCCTATTTCTCCTTGAAAGTCAATGCTAAGCATTTATGAGGGTTCTTTATTATCTTGGATAAAGATAAATCACAGTGTACATCTTGTTACTAATTAAAAATGGTGCAATCTGTTCAAATATCAGCTCTGGACAACACATTTCATGAAACCATCCCAAAAGATTATTTGTCTCAAGGCACAACTTTTCCACAATCCATTTGTCCAAATGACAAACTCCTGGTGATTATTATTTTTCATTGTTACAATTCTTTTCCAGATGGTCCAGGAACCTGCACATCATGCGCTAAGGGGTATTACATGTAAGTTTGGCTGTCTTTTACATGGTGCTAACTTTTCTGCAGTTTAAGCATTCCTGACTTAATCCTAAATCCAGTGATTAAAGAAAGGAGGTTCTGCAGCCTGAAGCAACTCAGTCTTGTCAGGCTCTTAATGAGCAGTTCCTGGATTTAGCAATAGGAACCCAGCTGTTTTCTTGCCTTGAGAGAAGGCCCTCTATTTCTTGATCCTGGAAGTCACCCAGCCTGACACTGGTGTCTAGGAATCATGCCATGGTTCCAAAGATTCAGACCTTGCTGTTTCTAGACAGATCTTACTCATATATCTGATGCCCAAGCAAGCTGTTTTCAAATGTCTGCATGGGGTCCGATGCTTCAGGCTGAAGGTATACATAGCTCTTACTTATTCCAGAAGCAAGGAGGGACCCATTGCTATTATATACTTTAATAGATATCTACAAAATCAAAGTTGGTATCAAAAGTCACCTCCCCTTCCTACTCTAGTCTCCCTTCCAATACACATTCGTGCCATCCTGGAGGAAAAACTCAGAAAAGAAGGGAGATGATAAAAGGAAGGAAATTTCTGGATAATCCTCAGGCAGCATAATCCCTTCCTGTCATGCTAGCTCTGGAGAGTTCTGTGATACAGAGACTCTCATGTTCACTCCATCTCTGTGACTTTCTAACAAGACTGCCAAGGGCACAGGATCAATGTTGGTATCCAGAAGAGAGAATTGAAGCTCACAGAGGTGGTGGATTCCCTTCACATCATACTAGGTGGAATCCAGGCACCCCAACTTTAGTGAGCCTACCCCCACCTGTAACCCACACTATTTTTCACCTCCATCAGTTTCCAGGGACTTGGTAGTTGCTGTTAAAATATTAAAGAGGGTGGGAAGAATGGAAGGGAAAGAGACATTCCAACAAGCTGCAACACATTAAAATAATCAGTTAGCCTTATCATTTCCTAACCTTATGGCTTTAATTCAACTTTCCTCATAATAACCTGTTATTGTCTATATTGACTGCCTGCCCATTGAAATTATTGTTTCTAAAGGGGAGGAGAGATAGAGAAGAGGCCCTTGGGTTTGATTAGCATATGGTAGGCCAGATGACATTTAATGAGTGGAAAGTGATTTGTCAACAGGTTCATAGTTGATATTTTACCCAGCCTCTGCCTGTCATAGAATCCTTGACCAGAGATGCCCAGCTGAATTGCAGGCATTCCTTGGTGAGGTCAGATGGTTGGAAGCACAAAATATTTCTTGAAGGACCAGGAAAGGAGAACTTCAGCTCAAATATGCAGAAGTGGCAAGGAATTCGCCACTTTGGTCCTTACAATTCTGCATCCCTTCAGTCTAACTGTACTCTGAATGCCTTCTTCATTGTGATCTGTTAAACTTTGGAGCCAGCCCTGTCAGCTGTTCAAATTCACCATGATTACACTAATGTGGGTGTTTTCATAAAACCCCTTGAGAAATAAATACATTAAACAAACGCATCCCAATATCACTAGTCATTGGGCTACTAACCACAAAGTTGGCCATTCAAACCCAATAGCCATCCCATAGGAGAAAGATGAGGCTGTCTGTTCATGTAAAGATATATAGCCTTGAAAAATCTACCACATCAGGATTGTGCAGAGATTTAAATGAGTTAATACTTGGCACATAATTCAGTATTTCATGAATATCTGTTTACTTTCTTAGCATTCCCTTCTTCCCATCCTGTCCTCCAACCAGCTGCCCTGGTCAAGGATGTTCAGAGATGCAGAGGAGGTGGTTTATTACTTGATTTCCTCCCATGAAATCCAAATAGCTATCTCTGTTGAAAAAGATGCATCGTTATATAGTACTATGCTTTTACTACTGTGTCTCATAGAACAAAGTGTCTACGAGTCTCATAGAACACAGCATGTCTTCTACTTCTAGGTTTAAACACCATTGTTATAGAACCTGTCCTGAGAAAACCTACAGTGAAGAGTTTGAATGCAAAGAATGCAATCCCAACTGTGGCAACTGTGACCAGAATGAGTGCTACTGGTGTGAAGAGGGCTTCTTCCTCTTAGGTAAGCCAGAAACTAGCCTTGTACAAAATGTGACAAAGGCTCCCAGTGTAGCAGGATGCCTCCAGATAGATTTTATGGTCTGCAGGGGTTGGTGCCTCTTGTCCAGGGAGAGATTTCAATTTGACTTGAAAATAACCATTAGCCAAGACTTCACTCTGCCTTTATTCTTAAGATATAATTTATATTTTATATCTAAGTTGATGGAAACAAGGATAAAGGAAGACAGGGGATGGGAGATGGGCACCTGAAGATGCTCCTTCTTGGAGCTGAAGTCACCTGGAATACTCAGGAGCTTCTCTGGAGACTTAATCCTTGTTATATATTCCCATGCAGTCTAAGAGTAATAAGACCTCTTGTGCTGTTATGCCTCAGTCAATTCATTGACTTTGACGGAAATGGACGGTTTGGAAAGAAATGCAAGGATAAGTCAAAGAATACTGCTACTAGGGTTTAGCTCATACAGGCATGGGTTTATTTCAAACAGACCATGTTTAAACATGTCTATGTGATCGTGGGTGGCTGCAGACAAGTCCTCTCAGTAATACACCTGTCTTCATGTCATTAGGGTAACTTCAAAAAAATGGTCCTGTCAAAACTGTGGCTTCTGAAGGGATCTATTTGGTCAGTTAAATTCAAGGCAGAGCAGTCTGCTTAGAAGGTTATGATGATATTTTTTTGGCTGGAGGGGGGGTTGTTCCAAAAGCATAATCTTGATAGATATTTCTGAACGGACACAGGAAACCATGAGGTTTATTATAAAGAAGTTTTAAGAAAATTGAAAGCTGTGTTGAGAAGGAAAAGACCAGAAAATTTGCACTGAGGATATTTTTCCCATCGTGACAATGCACCTGCTCATTCTTCAAGCGTAGCAAGGACTGTCCTATGAGACAATCTCACTAAGAAAACTTTCCCTTCCATCCTACAGGCTTGATCTTGCCCCTGAAAGTTTTGCTCTCAAAACTCAAAAAAACATTTGAAAGGAAAACTATTTGAGTCCCTTGAGGATGCCAAAACTGCCATCAGTAAATGGAAGAACAAAGAATTCTTCCAGGAAGGGTTAGAGAGTTGGAGACACTGCCTTCAAAAGTGGAGAGACCTAGATGGAAGATGTGTTGAGAAACAATAGTGTCACATTTTGATTTTGCTTAATAAAGTGTTCTATGATTTTGTTGCAATACTTTTTGACTTACTCTCAATTACTTACTCTTGTGATTCCTCCAAATGAAGAGCTAATGATTCAGTGTACTTTCATTTGTGAGGGAGAGAATGGGCAGAGAGCCCATGGTGATCTTCAATGGCTCTCTATATAGAGGTTTATTTGATTTATAGTTGTTCAAGCCCACAAGAATGTTGAGTTATTTCTTAACTCTTTGAGTTGATGGCCAAATAAAACTTAGATAAGGTATGGGGTTTATTAAAACACACTCTTTGGTTGAAATAAGCTAATGGGCTCTTAGATTTTGTACGAACAGACTCAAACAAAAATGTTCCTAAGATTCCCTTCTGTCCCTTCAGTGCTTGGCTTTGCCCAGAAAGCACTAAGCTAAGCTGCCAAGGGTTCTACCTTCATACTTCTTCTCTGGTTTCTATGTAGGTGGCCGTTGTGTGACAAAATGTGGCCCTGGCTTCTACGGTGACCCAGAAATAGGAGAATGTGAGCCCTGCCACCGAGACTGTGAAACCTGCACAGGTCTTGCCTATGACGAATGCAGCAGTTGCCAAGAAGGATTTCAGCTGCTTTATGGGAAATGTGTCCGTCCTGACCAGTCCCAGGTGGAAGGCAAATTCTGGAATGGTATGTATTTCCCAAGAAAGAGATCCTAGGGTCTAAGTTCCTACTCTGCCCCCTCCCTCTTTAACCCTTACTTCTGAGATATCAGAGAAATTAACTGGACAGCGAAACAGTTTAGAGAAGAATTAAGTTTGAGCTCTTCCCTGGAGTCTGTCTGGGTAGGAAGTTGTGGATGGCATTTGACCAGCAGGGGGAGTCCAAAGAGCAGCTTGCTAGTGGTCTGACACTGAGTTAGACTTGGGGGAATCCAACCAATAGCCAACCAACCAGTTGCCGTAGAGTGGATTCTGACTCATGGCAACTCCGTGTGTGCATAGTACAACTGTGTCCTTTCAAAAGCAGGTTTTCATGGCTGTGCCCTTTCAAAAGCAGAACACCACTGAGTGGGTTCAAGCCACCAACCTTCCTAGTAGGAACAAGTACTTAGCCATTTACACTACCCAGGGACTGTAATATGTCAAGAGAGTCATGTAGGCATATGGCCCAAACTACCATTTTCTCAAAAATTTTAAAATAGCTTCTGTCGCAGTTGAGGAAGAATTGCTCTAAAGTATTAAAGCTTATCCTAACAAAGCTGATATTTTTGATTAATTATTAGAACATAGGAGTCCTGATGTGACACTGTGGGTTAATACGCCAGGCTGCAAAGTCACCTGTACAGGATCACTATGGGTCGGAATTGACTCGACAGCACTTAACAACAACAACAACATTAGAACATAACTCCATTCAAGCTTGCCTTTTAAGAGTTGTCCTCCTCAGTTGCAGCTGGAGGGAAAGAATGGGAGGATAGAGACAGGAAAGGAGGGAGGAGAAACATGGGGGTCTGGAATCAAGCAGTAGAGACCCACATGTAAGGCATTCTTACCTGAGCCTTCAGAAGCAGCCTTCTCAGGTTTGAGCCTCAATCACAGACTTCCTTGAAATCACACACTTTCAGCATGACCTCTCTATGTCTGACATTTTGTTCAAAACAAAATTCCCTTCTTGCTGGAAAAATCAGAGATGCCCATGAAAACAAGTGATGCATGCTACTTGATTTCTAGGTGACGGTTTGTTAAAAAAAAAAAAAGGGTCATGTCAGTGTAGAAACAACAACAGCTGAAAGGAGGTCCATGCAGGAAGAGAGAGTGATAAGTCTAGAGCAGGAGAGAAGTCTTGCCAGGTGCATGAGGAGGGATGTCCAGGGCTGCTGTCTACTACGGCGGTGTTGGCCATGTGACTTAAGGAAGAGCAGCTTGGAGGCCATCACAAACCCAGCAGCCAAGGGCCAAAGAGAACACTAGGCCGATTTTAGAGGCATGGCTGGGAAGAAATATATTCAATCCCAATTGGGATATCTTCCGTGAATTACAGCTGAACCAAAATGCTGAAAAAGAATTTGTCTGGCATTCAGACATTTAATAGGCAGTGCCAGACAAGAAGAAAATGGTCTGGTGCTGTTTGTAGCTCAGGACATCTGTATTTTATCTGGCGTTCCAGATGATGAAAAGGTCTGGGAAGCCAAGATTCAGAGCCGACTTGATTCCTCACATGATGACCAGTCCCTTCAACTGGACTATGCATTTTGCAAGCAGAAATCAGGCTTTTACTGTTCCCCTTTGTTGAGGCACCGCACCCATCTCTTAACACTTTCTACTATCAAAATCTAATGTCTTTGAAAAGATAAAGAAATGAGTCCATTTGGAGATTTAAGACTAATAAGGGCTTTGAGAAGCAGATGAGAAGCTTTCTTTGGGGCTATACAAAAGTTGAATAAATTCAATGGCATGGATGTACTCTTCCATGTCTGTGATCTATGAAATAAGACATGCAGATTATCAGCAAGGAGAAAAGAATGTTTATCTACTGGGCGAGGTAAGGTCAGCCCTCAGCTTCCCCAGCATAGTCTGGGCACTGAATCTGATAGTAAGTGGGAAATGCATTCCATAAAGCCCTGGGAGTATTTGAGCCAATGCCTACATCATTCTCCTGAAAAACAAGGTGGAGAGTGTAATCAGAGAGCAGGCAGTTCCAGAGAAAAGGCACTAATCAGCCACACATTTATTGTTAAGTGTCGTGGAGTTGGGTCCAACTTGAGTGTTATTGTTAAGTGCTGTCGAGTTGATTCCAATTCATAGTGACCCTGTATAGAGTTTCCAAGGAGCAGCTGATGAGTTTGAACCATTGACCTTGCAGTTCCAAACAACCTACGGTCCAGTGCTTATCCTACAACGCCACACCAGGACTCTTTTAAGAGGAAAGAAAGCAGATTACAGTCATTCTGGTTGACCAGCGCTTCAAATCCATTTATTCAAGTTTGATGCTTTGCTCAGACTTTGTATTTCCAGCTAGATAATACTGAGTCAGAATCTACATCTTAAGATCCCAAGCTGATTCCTCCCTTCACGTAAGAGCCAGCTTGAATCAACCAATTCGAAGCCCTCGCCCAGACAATTTACACAGTATATCTGAAAGAATGGAGTTGTCTGAAAAAGCAATATTTTTTGCTTTTTCTACTTTTTTTTTTTTAAAAAAACGCAGACTCAGGAAATGTAAGATGGAACAAACTTCAATCCATTCCTTCACCTACATTGTTCCTTCCTTTCCTCTTCTTCATCCTCCTATCTCCTTCCATCTACAACTGTGGAGGGCAATCCTAATAGGCAAGCTTGAATGGTGTCAAGTTCTAATAATTAATTATAAAAATCAGTCATTTTAGGAAGGAGCTCTGGTAGCATAGTGGTTATGAATCGGGCTGTGAACCGTAAGGTCAGCGGTTTGAAACTACCAGCCGCTCCATGGAAGATAGATGAGGCTTTCTACTCCCGTAAAGATTTATACCCTCGGAAACCCTGTACAGGGTCGCTATGGGTCGAAACCGACTCGATGGCACTTAACAACAACAACAACAACAACCAAAATTATAGAACAATTCTTTCTTGTCTAAATGGGAAAACATACCCTATTTCCTTTATCAACATCATCATTATAAATGAATGTATGACTGTGATAAAAGCTATTTTGAAACTGGGAGGAAACAAAATCCTGTTTGCAGCCAAATACTATTATGTCCTACCACATGAGTCTGTTAGCATGTGCTCAGAATACACCCTGAAACCAAAATCCATCCAACTGTTCGCTGAACTCCTCTTTTAATAGAGTGGCTAATCATTGCTGGTGTGGCGCTGTACAATAAGCACTGGACCATAAGTTTGGTTTGAACCACAAGGCTGACAGTTCAAATCCACCAGCCGCTCCTTGGAAACCCTATTTGAGTCAGAACCAACTCGATGGCAGTTAACAACAGCAACACAAATCAGAATAAGAGTGAAAATGACAAGAGGCCCATAATTCTCTGTTGGCTACCAGCAGAGTGGGAATACCTCCAACCCTAGGCAGATGGAGATTTCTCCACATATAGGCGCATGCCTGGCATACCCTCTTGCCAAAGATGGCGGCTCAACTCTATATTCTCCCACCACCAAAATATTACTGCGTAAAAAGTATAGCCTATCCCCAGATCCCCTTTTCTAGTCACTAATACATTACAAGGAGTCCTGGTGCGGCACTATAAGATAAGCACTGGACTACTAACCACAAAGTGGGCAGTTCAAACACAACAGTCACTCCTAGGAAAGCCTTATACAGGTTGCTATGAGTCAGGACTGACTTGATGGCACTTGACAACAACAACAATATATTGTCAAGAGTATTTCATCTGCTCTTCCTAAACGGTTGAAATAGAACCAATATTAAGCAGACACTTCAGCAGCAACTCAAACATCCTACAAAGCCACCACTGGTAGAAATGTTAAAGTACAGTAGACCATTCACTGGCTTTGAGAGAAGATGATAGCTTTCACTGGTTTTTTAAAACTATTATTGGGAATAGAGCTAGAAATCATTTGGGTTTTCTTAAGTGGTCCTCCTTCAAGGCGTACTAAAATGTTCTAGAAGCAACTCCTGCTCAGTTTCTCTACACACCTATATCCATCACTGATTAAAAACCATACTTATAGGAGCCTCTAAGTAAATATTCTGATGGAAGTCTAATCCACAAAGCACAAGCATTGAGAATTATTTTTGTCTTTGACCACATCCAAGCAATCTATCACTAACCTACCTTTTGATGTTATAATTCCTAGGCTGGGAGAAAGACTGGAATCCCAGTCAGCTGCAAACACCAAAAGCCACATGCATGTGAAAGAAAATCTCAAGAATGAGAGGATATGTTCATTAAACTTAAATGAACCTTAAAGATGCCATGAGAGTCTAATTTTTAGAAGGACTTTGTTGAGATGTATGCTGTTGCCTCATTTAGAAATGAGGAATCTTTTTTTTTTTTTCTTTTTTTAACGTGAAAAACAAAAACAAAAAACAAAAAATTGTAATTTGGGTTAAAGTTTACAGGGTATATTAGTTTTCTCTCTTCCCCCTTCCTCCCTGGTTTCCTGTGTCCATTCATCCTTCTTTCCTCCTTTCTTGCCCCTTCCCACTTTCTGAGCTTTGTTTCTCGGCAAATTCTTCCCTGTTGGTCTTGTAAGGCTGATTAGATTGAGGAGTATGCTCCTTCCTGGTGTTATTATTGATTTTCTAGGCCTACTATTTGGCTGGAAGCTGATCCTCAGGGATGGTGGGGGTTCAGTTCCAGGTTTTAAGGGTACATAGGGCCACAGTCTCCGGTGTTTCATCTGTCTCTATCATATCAGTAACTCTGATCTTTTTTATGTTATTGAATTTTGTTCTAATTTTCTCTCTCTCAGTCCAGGGCTTTGTATTGTGGTCCTGATCAAAGCAGTTGCTAGTGGTGGCAGGACACCATCGAGCTCTTCTGGTTTCTGAGTAGTGGAAACTGTGGTCCATTAGTCTTTTAGACTCGTTTCCTTGAGTCTTTGACTTTCTTCACTCTTCCGTGTTCTGGGTGAGAATAGACCAATAGTCACCTTCTAGATGACCACTCACAAGCTTTTAAGACCCCAGTTGCCACCCACTGATGTAAGACATAGAACATAGACTTTGTG